ATGATGGACCTACAGAAAAATCTGAAGACCTAGTTTGATCTTCGTTTACCCTTGTTAACAACCTCAGCACAATTCACTTCTTTCTCAAATCTTTCACAGAAGCCTCGCTGCTGGTTTTCGCTTTGCGATAGGTTTGCTAGCCTATCAATCTTCGTTTACCCTTGTTAACAACCTCAGGACAATTCTCTTCTTTCTCAAATCTTTCACAGAAGCCTCGCAGCTGGTTTTCGCTTTGCGATAGGTTTGCTAGCCTATACCTACATGTCACTCATTGCTTTGAGGAGGGCACTCTTATTGGTTGATGATGCTCCCTCACCAGAATCGCAATAGCTACGCAAAAGAAGATAAAAGACTAAATAAGTAAGAAGAAAAGGAAACGACGCAAACCCTCCTTACCCCAATGCCTATTTATAATGGTTCGATCACAAAAACCCAGGGAAGTCATTTTTTGTGCCATAATGTAATTTAATTATTTCATATATGTTAAAAAGATTCTCCTGTCTTCGTGTACTGTGCAACTTCTGAGGAGTAAGAGAATCGTAGAACTAGATATGTACATATAAAGATACGTCAACACAAATCTCAAGGAATATAAACGGTTCAGGAGGATGATATTGACGATCATGCATAATTGTTAACGACTGTTTTGGAATCGATGTTGGCAAGGGAGGCTTCTTGTTTTGAACGATCAACGAAATGTGCTAGGAGATGTTCCGCAGGACATTAATTAGTTCTCAAGACGATCGACATGAGGCTCTCTTTCAGATTAGATATCGATCGAATCAAGGCTTACCAGACGATTAACAACTTTCATCAATCGAATTAGTCCCGACCTTATTATATGCGAATAACTCTATAATTACCAAAGAATTCATCTGAAAAGTTAATAATGAGAGGGCTAATATGTACTTTTGCCATCTGAAAAGTTAATAATGAGAGGACTAATATGTACTTTTGTAATGCTGGGACCTATGCCTATAAAGAAGGGTCCATGTCATAAATCTGAGACCTATGCCTATAAAGAAGGGTCCATGTCATAAATAAATGACACTCTCTTTTACTGTCCCCTGTTGTGCTCTCTCTCTCTCTCTCTCATCCCTTCATAACAAAATGTTCTATTTCTTGGGTGTGTTTCTCAGACATTTTTGGATTCAACAGTATGTAAATGCTCCAAAATTTTCATATCAATCATGTTAAATATTTTTTATTATTTAACATCAGAAAGATTTACTAGATAAAAATTTACATGTAAACCCTACCCCAGTTAAATTTGCCTTGACACATGCATCTCGTTTGCTATTCACTATTGAAGTTTTTTGAAAATATGCTAATCTATTGGAAACTTGGGCATTGAAATTTCTAAATGTCAGTTACTATCATCTATGTGGATCTTGCTATTCGAGGGTTTAAAGTCATATTATACATCAAGCTTCTTTATATTGGTTCAGCTTTAGTGATGATCTTCATTTGAAGATAATTGATTTTATTGGATTAATGTGTGTTTTTATATTCAGATAGTAGGAGCACATAATTTAATATTCATTGTGCTGAGTAAAGCATCATATACTCACTAAATACTCAAAATTTCCTAGATAAACAATCAATTTTTTGGGCATCAATATCTTAAGCATATTTCTTCTAATATATCATCAACATATGTATACCAAATATTTGCTTCAGTGGGCTAAAATACGTCCAACATGCCTCATGAGCTTGATAAGCCCATTTATTCAGAAGAAACCACCATCACTAGAATAATCAGTCGAGGGATCCACTGACTTCACTAGGTGTGTTAGTTGTTCTATACCAATTGTCGAGATGACCTGTCTTATTCATCTGGCGGACCGGTTTGCAGGATTAACCTGACAAACTGACATGTCAAATTCATCTAGCGAATTAACAATCATTTTCATTCATCGAGCTTGACTCAACAATGATCCTTAGAATAACAAAGTGCAAAAAGTTAAGACTGACATAAACAACTTTCTCATTTATGAGCCACCCGACAAGACTGACATAAAAAATTGACATAAACAACTTTCTCATTTATGAGCCACCCGATATCCACGTTGTAATGTTTTCATCGAGACATCATGGTTAGATTTATACACCACGACTCATATTTTTATATTTTCTTGAACTTGCATAGGAGGAAAAGAGAGATTCCAGAAGGATACTCTCATATGCCTTATGGGAAGACCTCATGCTGTAACTTTTTGGGGTCTTTTGCTTCCTCTCTCGTTCTTTCTTGCTCGTTAGATAACATTTTCTACATTTTTGGAGAAAGATCATTGCAAAGATATATAGTTGAGGCTTGCAGAACATATCCATTCTCTTTATTCACCCTTATTTAGATTTCTCCCTAATTGTATCAATTCACAAACCATGACCCAAACTCTTAGAAAAATTCAAAAAATTGATACTTTTTCTTATTACTATAATGGAAGTACCTATAATAAATTCCTATGTATTTACATATATAACACCTAAAGTTATGTTTTAACAAACATACCACCTTATCCGTGCGTGAAAAAGTGTATTTTACAATGGTGGTATTTTTTTATTTGACATGCAATTTTTGGGTGGTATAAATGTAAAAACCAATGTTTATGTGTTAACATGTAAATACCTAAAGTAATATGTGGAATGAACGTAAATTAAAAAATAAAAAATAAAAAATATAAAAGATCAGAAAGAAAAAAACAAAAACGCCGGAATATTTTGGGCAAGATGCCGTTAGCGGCCGTCACCAATAGCTTCCATTTCCAAAGGATGGGAGCTCCGGCTAGAAAGCGACTCTACTATTACCATGTATGGTCTACCGATGCCTCCCTCTGATCAGATGCTGCCTGTAGAATTTCGGAAGAAAATTTTGGAAAGGTTTGATTCTCGACATTGTATCTTCAAAAGCTTGATTTTTTCATGACTTTGTCGGCATGTATGGGTTTACTGTCTTATATTTGTCTTCAGAGTAAAAAATCCTATCATGAGTTATTTTAATCGTCCGAAGCTCAAGTTTTTTGAGTTTTGAGATTTTTTTTCTTAATTTTTTCTGATCATTTCTCATTCTATGTTCAGTTTCTTGTTTGCTTTGAATTTGATGGGCTTCCTGTATTTTCTGAGAGATTTTGGGTGGAATCGATCCGGTTTGACTCTAGGGGATTTCGGAATCTATTGTTTCTTAGAGAAGTTTGATTGGAGAGCCCGATAGGTGATTCGATCCCTGGTGGATATTGGTCTATCTTGTTCATTTTGATGTTTTGTTTCTCCGGCAAACCTTCTTTTTTTCTTTCTCTCACTCTCTGTAATATCGGTTTGCCCCTCTCAAATCTAGTTAACTCAATTTTCAGAACTAGGGATTTATATCATGATATAGTTTAGTGAGTAGCAGACTGTGAGAGCTGCAAAGTCCGGTTCAGTAGGAAAAGTTTAGTTTTCAACGCCTTAGGGTTTCGTTGAGTTGATTCTTTAAGGGTCAATTGGTCTTCAGTTTCTTTCTTTTAATCTGTTAAGGGCTGTTTGTTAATGGATTTAGTAAATTCTGTAAATCCAGGGTTTAAGGTAAAACTGAGAAGAAATTGATAAACATCTGAATTTTTTGAATACAGGATTCTGTCTTGGAAGATTTAAGTTAAATCTAACTAAATCTGTCACCAGACAGCACCTTAATGTGCGGAAGGTTCATTCTAAATCTCAAAATTCTGATCCTAAAATGCTTATCTACATAAACATTACAAAATGCATATCTTCGGACACATTTTTTTGATGCCCCAACAATAGTGTTTTTTTTCTCCTTCATTAGATTATTGAAACTTCTTGTCGGTATATTAGTAATTTGGCGCACCCCTCTAAGCTTTGGGGCAATTCCACACATACCACACATTTCTTATATATTTACATGTCTAACACCTAATTTAAAAATAGATTGGTCCAGACTAGTTCTCTATGTTTCACATAAGTGTTATATAAGATCAAAGTTGTTGCTTGGCTTGGGTGTGTGACTGATGTGTGGTTGGGCCCCAAATAGTGGGCCATTTTATGGAGTCCTCATAATTGAGAGCTTTAAATGTGGTTGAATGATCACTTTGGCTAAATTAATATTTGTCACTTCGGTTGGTTTTTATGGAAGGTTCATGGCTTGTAGGTGGTGGTGGCCGATGTTAAAACTACCACATTATGAAAGATTTGTTAAGGTAGATAGATTATCGTTTTTAGCACCATAATGCATAGTTAAAAATCCATATGCTCATGTTTCGTTTTCACTTATCAAATTAAAATTTTTTAGTGAAAAATATATTTGCCAATTACTTATTAGGCTTAACTTGTCTCCCTTGTGGTTCACAGTTCCTAACAAACTTTACTCCCTTCGTCCTCTCTTCTTGTTAGTAAGTATTGGGCGACAAAATATCAATAATAGGCAATTGCTGCTCATTTGCTTGGCAACCTTATTTCTTCATGCTCAAATTGAAGAACATTTCCCTCCTGAAAATTCATGAATAAAAGAAGCAATCCATTTTAAAAAAAAAATTTATTATTAAATTTTTAATAAATATTTGGGTTTTATAAATAGTTTGAAGTCATTTGAGTTGATGGAAAAACAAGTGCTTTTGTGTTGGGTCTTTCCTTGTACATGTGTCCAAAGAAGGTCAGCTTGTTATAAGGAATTGTTCCTCGAAAAAACTCTTGGATGCTTATGTCAGCTTAGAAAACTTAAAATGAAAAAATATAAAAAATTTCTTGGAAAAATTAGTTTCACAGTAAAATTTTTTATCTTAACACTTGGAATGTTTGATAGTATTAAAAGAAGGGTATTTTCGTACTTTGGTGAAGTTTATGGCAGATGATTGATCCCTATTCTTCTGGGTTCCATGCTTGATTGGATTGGCCATGATTGATGCCATTTTGTTTCTCAAAGTGATAATTATGTCACAACATCATTAAAATTTGTGTCGGGCCATCATGTTTTTTGGAATGATGTATTTATTCATCAAGAGCTTAGGATTAGGGATTGATTCTCTTGAAGATTTGATTTTTATATAAAATTATGTTAGATAAATATGATTTGAAATTGACGGTTAGATATTATCTGAAGATTTGATTCCAATGAGTGCCTTTTTGTTGTTGCTCTTATAATCGCTTCTTTGGCTAAATTAAGAAATTATTTGTTGTAACGGAAGAAGCACCCTAATCACAAACATGGCGATATTTTCTCACATATGATCCGAAATTGTTGAATGTCTTTCATGAAATTGAATTAATCTAGGTTTCGAGATGAAAGTGTCTCCATTTTCACATGGCCTAATTATCTTAGCATGTTCTGAGGAATTATCTCTTGAAAGGAAGATATTTTGATGCCTAAGAAGAAATTTTTTGGAGGAATAAGTCACTGATAAGAATTCTTTTACATCTCTTCGGGGAAAAAATTTCTGCCCGAACTCCGGACGTAGCTCTACGTGCGGACTCTAATAATATGGCGCAATGTATGCTACATTATGGGGTTATTGAAGTGGAACCGTGAAGGTTATTTCGGGGTTATGGAAGAGAAACCCATATATTACACTTTAATAACCCCGACATAACCCATAAATAAATCTGAAATAACTTCTGCGGTTTCACTTCAATAATCCCGAAATAACACCACGAAGGTTATTTTTGTGTTATTTCGGGGTTATTGAAATAGAATATATGAGTTTCTCTTCAATAATCCGGAAATAACCCATAAATAACCCCGAAATAACCTCCACAGTGTTATTTTGGAGTTATTAAAGTGGAATCGTGATGTTATTTCGGGGTTATTGCGGAGTTCGTTGTTTCACTTTAATATTTTTTTGGGTAGGCCCGATAGAGCACACATGGCGATATATTATTGGGAGTCCGCACGTAGAGCTATGTTTGGAGTCCGGACAAAAAATTCTTTTGCCTACATCTTCAGGGGTATTGTTGAAGGATGGGTATTTTTGTACCTTACTAAATTGTTGGGTAAATGATTGATCCATTTCATTTGTATTAGATTGAAATGCCTTTTGATTGATGGCATCTTGGTCTTCAGGTAATCCGAATTTTGAAAACCACTACACTTTATCATCAAGATTAGATTGACCATCATGCCCTTCGAGATAATGGGCAAATCGGTGCAGGTTTTAGGCTCCAAGATTTATTATGAGGGAGATTTTATTTTTTATGTCAGATTATGTTAGTGGCCTTCAGATTGGTGCTAAAAAAGATTTAAATTGGAAACCCGAATGTTAGGTCTGAATCTATGAGAAGTGTTGTTCAAATGTGTTTCTCCAAACTTTATCAATGGGTTGATACACTTCCTAATGCGATTTGATGGTGTAGGGGAAGGCCTCCAAATTTTATCAATGGGTTGACACTCTTTCCAATGCAATCTGATCGTGTAGAGGAAGGGCCACTAACCCCTCCATGTCTTTGGGCACAGGGATCATAGAAGCACTTGTTCAAATAATTAAGACTAATCCTATGCTAAGCACTTTTTTAGGACTTCGTCAATATTTTAGACCAATTAATCTTTTAAGTTTAATAAAAATATTTAATTGGGCATATTTATTAAAAAAAATATCTCAAATTGGAGAGGGTTGCATTTTGCAATTGAAATCTTCCTTTATTTCTAAATAAGGACCTCTTTTTTCTTCTTTATCTTGGCATTTAGGAGAGTTATTTCTAAAAAGGAAAAAAAGTGTCTTGAAAAGCCATGAATAGGAGAGGGTTCCATTTTAATCTTTATTAAAGAATTCAAGAAGGTGAGGTTTCCATTTTAATCTGAACCTTTCCACTATTTTATAAACATTTTCTGCGGTTTTCTCTCACTTTGTATCTTAATATATACATAATAAATATAAAAGCATTTTATTTTGAAACATGTGATATTTAATAATAACTTTTTGTATAGATAGCAAAGAATTTATCCTATAAAATTAGTTCAAAGGTATTTAATCAAATTTAAAAGAATTCTTTTGAAAATTGACAGGGCTCAATGGATGTCTTTCATAGTTTAAAATTCAACGGCCTCCATTGTTTCATGCTTCTTGGTTTTTTTTGAGGATAATTTTTTTCTTAAAGAGGGCATGTTTCCTTTCTAATACCAATGAAGGAGAGGACCTCATTTTAAAATGAAATCCTCTTCTCTTGGTATAAACTTATTAATAAGAAGCTTTATATATATTTTTTTAATTACTTGTGGCATGAAAATCTCTTCATGGTACAATCCTTGTTAGATGGCATGCATGGCTTGTCCCCGCTCTTAAAATTCTGTTTTAGAAAACCAAACATATAATACAATTTGAATTTGCCTGTTATTCCTTATAAGGTAAAATTGTCAGCTACATATATTCCTTAGCTTCTTCCAAGTTGGAAAACGCCTCTTTCTTTTCTAGTAATAGCATTACCGATATTAAGAAGACTAAGAGAGTCTTTTCATCTCTTTGGCTTAGAGGCGAGAGATAAAAATAATGCAGCTTCATGCTGTATTGGCTTATCTCATACAGAGGTTTCTCTTATTAAAATCATAGATTTCTTCTCCTGTAATTTTCTGATCATACCGGCATGTGCCTAACTATTGTTCTTTGTTTATTTTACAGAGGATGACAAATATATCAACCTTCAGTTTCTAACATCAGCCTTGGAGACTGTTCTTCACTGGCTTATGCTCAGTAAATAGAAATGAATATCAGTGCTATGGCCCCACATGCTGGAGGCAATAACCAAAACAACCCTGGCGCGGCTTCAAGGCAGCGATTACGTTGGACGAATGAGCTTCATGAGCGATTTGTGGATGCTGTAACTCAACTCGGAGGGCCGGACAGTAAGTGCTTATTTTTTTAAGCTATCGAACGATTTAAAGTTGTTCATTATACATTTTACAAAAACACCCTTTACTCCTACCTTGTGAGGAAGAATGGGAGAATATGTGGAAAGTCCTGAATTTCGAAAGAAAGTAATTTATGAAAAGTTTCTTTAGTTTAGACAAAAGATGTAATTTATTGAAGTAATACATGATGGCAGGGAACCTTTCCATGTATGCGTAATAGTAATAATAATATTAATATTAATATTATTATGTTATAATCAAGTTACGGTGCTAAACATTTAACTTTAGGAAAATTTACATACATACTACTCATTTCTTATGTATTTACATATCTACACCAAACTTCAATTTTTACAAATATGCCACCTTACATCTGCGTTAAAAGCAGTATTTTTTTTTTATCCATTTTGGGAGCAATGGGATACTAGCTAACCTATCGAGTCGGTCTTTCATTCTTTCTGGTATCCCCCCCTTCCGGATGGCTTAAAGTGAACATTGACGGGGCTTCCATCCAGGGCTGCCGGTATTGGCTTAAAGTGAACATCCTTCCCTTCTGGATGGCTTGATGTGAACATCGATGGGGCACTTCTTCCATTCAGGGCTGCGGGTATTCGTGCCATTTTTCAGGACAAACAAGGGACGGGGATTTGTGCCGACGGGGAGCAATTTGAGAATTGGGACAGCGCACAGGTTGAACTCCGGGTGATCCAAATGTTACATGCCATGCATGAACCATGGATGTAGGAATACAAGGGCATTCTCATCGAATGCGATGATGCAAACATCATTAAGTTTTTGCAATCCACTATGGAGAAAGATTTGGCAACACCAACCATATGAGGCTCAGGACATAGTCTTTCTTTTGAACTTTAAGCAAGTTTTATTTTCTTGCATACCTCATGAATGTAACAGGGCTGCTCATTTTTGTGCTAAGCTTGCCCTTCTTGGCTCTTATTTTTGATGCATGTTGATGAGAATAATGAACTTTCCTTTATACTAATTGATGATAGATCACATTTTATATAGGATAGGTGCACATATGCATAATTTTGTAACCTTTTTGATATTTTAATGTGATATGCAATGTTCAAGAAAAGATGCATTTCACTTTTTAAAAGTTAAAAATAGTATTTTTTTTATGTGATATGAAAGATTTGGGTGGTATGAATGTATAAAGAAAAAATTTTGTGTTAGATATGTGTATACATAAAAATTGGGTGGTATTTATTTAAATACCCCTTAATTTTAATGCACAAGCATGCCTACAGTTTCTTTTTGATACATTTTAAAAAATTCTTGAGTTCTTTGAGAAGATCTTAATTGTAATTATTGAGCACCAGGATTCAAGTTCTATATATTTTATATCTTTCATCAAATGAGTTTCTCTAAATGACACAAAATGAAATGTTTAGAATGCCTTATCATTTGGCAGGAGCTACTCCTAAAGGTGTTCAAAGGGTTATGGGTGTGCAAGGTTTGACAATATACCATGTGAAAAGCCACTTGCAGGTATTTGAAAGAGCCAAACTTGATGCCATTTAGACTTTGTTGCCTGCTTTCTTTAGGTGTTAGCTAACGTTGTCAATTTGTCCCATGTAGAAATACCGTTTGGCAAAGTGCCTTCCAGACTCATCAGCTGAAGGTAGTGTTATACTATTTACTAGATTAAAACTTTATATTATTGGCAGCTAATTTAGTAGATTTAGTTTTCGAGTAAATTGCCAAAATGGTATTTTGACTATTTATATGGGCTCATTGTAGTCCGAGGATCTATAGAAGTGTCACAATTGTCCCCATACTTTTTTAATATTAGTTGGAATAGTCCTCAGGGAGGACTACCACGTTGGAATAATTTGATATTTTTATTGACTGTGGTTGAAATAGCCCCCCGAAAAGAGTAAGGGGATCATTTTGACACATTCTATTTTGTTTTCTATTTGGATGTATTTTTTTTATGATGGGCCTCTTTTGCTAATTTTCTGTCCTTTCAGTCACAAGAGAACTGAAAGAATCCGATGACGTGCTTTCAAAACTTGACAATTCCAGGTGAACTAAATTTCTTGGTCCTTTTCATCTCGAAATAGTGTAGGTCATCTTAGGATGTAGAGTTCCTAATGCAATTAGATTATGCAGTTTTTATAGACCACAGAAAACAAATTAGAGATTTGCACTTTTAAAGACCACTAATTAAACCAAAGATTCATTACTTTTGTTATAAACTTCAAATACAAGAAATCCTTGGAAAAGATAGTATAATGCATCATTTAAATCAAATAAATCAATTATAAGTTCAAAGCCACCAAAAAAATCAATAATTTAATTGACACTTACCACAACGAAAGTTCACACGTAACCGGTTTGGCTAAAATAAAAAGTACTTGTAAAAGCATGTAAAATGATGAAGTTGAAATCAGCAATTTTATCATCCAATTTAAATTATGGAAAAAGATATGTATAATTTTTTGACGAAGTGTTTGATTAGACTTTACTCGATCATAATTGGCATAGCTAAATAGACCTTAAAAACCTTGACTCAATCAACTTAACATGACCTGGGCTTTCAAGATTGAAACATTATAATTATTTAAAATGCATGTTGACGTATTATAGAAAATCTTTATGCACACTCAATCATGGGTATCAAATTCACAAACATAAGTACTAGTTACCCAAACTCTCGTTATGTACATCTTTTTGTCATCAATTTGTAGGTGATGAGCAAATGAAAGTTTTTATTGGGTTTCCATCTTTCTCCAAGAGCTTTTCAAATTTAACTCATGAATTTTACATCCGTGTTTGATACAATTATTTAAGGCAATTCATGTAATTCAACCATTTCCTTAAAGTATGATTTGGTGATGTGAGAAGCAACAATTTTATGAAAGAACTGAAATGAGTCATGTCATAAAGACTGATCTATTTTTTCATAATATAATCGTGTTTGCTCAGGGTCCTGGTAGTGCTAATTCAAAGTCCATATTAGCACCTTCTGAATGCCTATATAAAATAGGCAAATGTGTATAAATCCTAATATTTTATTTCTTTTTTATCTTGTTATTAATTTTTTGTCTAGTAAATCTATGCACATTATATCTCTTCTAAAATTAGGCTAATACTGTATATTCTTAATCATAATGATGGTTTATCTTTTCCAAAATGTTCAACAGCTCAACCTGCATGCAGCTTTAAAATAGAAAGGCCCATTAATGACAAAACCCCTTAAATAAGCAAATTATATCTAAATATGAAACTTTTTGCAAATGGATAAGTTATTATTTAAGTTAGGATATATCCCATTAAAGCACTTTAGGTGTTATGTTCTTCTTTAACTTTGATTAAAGTCAATTAACTTAACTAACATTATGTAATACATTATAGCAACCCTACTTGAAGAAATAAAATGCTTATGTTCATTTCTAGCACATTGCTTGAGGTAGAAGTGTTCTCCTACTAAAATTCAACCCACGTGGAATGTCTACATTTATTATTATTTTTATTTTGTGAACTAAGATATTTTAAAGCTTGATGGCCATAAAGTAGCATAAAATCTTTATTATTATTTTTTTGTGAGTTTTCATAATACTTAAAATTTTTATGTTTGCTCTTATTCAATTTCTTTGTTAAGGAAGTTGTTTGATGTCTTTGTTAACACTGCACCAACATTTCTTTTACTCGAATCACAAGGAACACACACACACACACATCTACGAAATAAGTTGTTTTGTTTTTGGCATTAAGACAAATATGTTTTTTAATTTAACAGTATTTATGAAAGTTGACCTAAATTGAATATTTTCTTATTTTTTTTCTAATTAATGAATGACAACAATATGACTTAAGATGATAATTTTATAATTCAAACAATATAAACAAGAATATTAAAAAAAAACTCTAAGCAATTATGTAGAAAATAATATCGTCAGTGTAAGGATTACAAGTGAAATGAGCCAAGTCGAGCCAAGCCGGAGGCTATTAGAGCCCATGCTCTTTTATTAAAATCTTGTTTGAGTTGGGCTTGGGCTAAATTTAAGCTTTTGTAAGTAATAGTTCTCAAGCTTAGTTCATTTAGATTCATGCTTGCTTGAGCTTTGGCTCCACAGTTTATTTTGTGATTGTCGAGCAATAAATGAGCAATTTGTTTGAAAACATAAATGATCCTTTTTCGAGCCTAACTTATAGAGCTTAAAAATAAAATTTTAAACGAGCCCTTTGAGTCACATCCAGCAAAATTTGCCTATCAAAGCACACCACCATTCAAATCATCTGCATGCCACATGTGAGTTAAACAAGCTCACACGATTGAGGGCTTTTTTTCCTTTTAAACAGTATTATGTTAATAATGTGAGGCTAATTATATTTAACAATTATTGTGAAAATTTGTAATAATTGAGAAAATATTTAAAAATTAGAAAGCTTTGAATTGGTATAACAGAGATCTGGTATATGATGTGCAATTTTAGTGGGTGTAATATTAATAATAATCTATTACAACAACAACAACAAAAAAGCCTTAATCCCACTACGTGGGGTCGGCTACATGAATCCTTTTTCTCCATTGCGTCTTATTTTGTGTCATATTTTCATTTAGTTCTAGTAAATTTAGGTCATTTTTAATACAATAAGCCCAAGTCTTCGTTGGTCTTCCTCTGCCTTTCTTAACACAAGTCGAATCTAGAACATCTGCTCTCCTAATCGAATCATCAGATAATCATCAGATGGTCTGACCAAACCATCTAAGACGACTTTCTCTAATTTTGTCTGTCACAGGAGCTACACCAACCCTATCACTCACAGGAGCTACACCAACCTTGATACGGATATATTCATTTCGCATTTTGTCTCTAAGTGTAAAGCCACTCATCCACCTAATCATTCTCATCTCGGCAACAATTAACTTATTATTATTCTTCTCCTTTAACGGCCAACATTCAGCGCCATATAGCATTGCAGGTCTCACCACCGTCTTATAAAATTTTCCTTTCAGTCTGAGCGGTACTTTTCTATCATACAAAAGGCCCGAAGCATTCCTCCACTTCAACCAAAAAACTTGAATTCTACTATTAACATCCCCATCTATATCACCATCGCTTTGAACAACGGACCCAAGGTATCTAAATCGTTCACACCTTTTAATAATTTGATCACCCAAAGTCACACTTCTGTCACTAGAGCTATTACTACTAAAATTACATTCCATGTATTCAGTTTTAGTTATACTTAAATGAAGGCCTTTAAACTCCATTGTAGACCTCAATAATTCAAGTTTTTCCTGGACTTTTTCTCTCGTTTTATCCACGAGAAGGATATCGTCAGCAAAAAGCATACACCAAGGTACATCCCCTTGTAGATGTCCAGTAAGCGTAAAATATGTATTTATATTGGATCTATTTTATAGAAGTATGAGGATACAACTTAGAATTAAGGTTGAGTTGTTAGAGTGGTCAAGTTTCTTAGGGCATTTGAGGCTTACGGTAAATCTTATAAAATTACAATCAAACTGGCTATTTTATATCTTGATTTGTTTGTTAGCCAAATAAAAGGTTGTCAGCAGCTCAGTTTAGTGAAATGCGGACAAACTAGGAATGAAAAATCAAGGAATGATTTTCTTTGTGGAATTGATAGAGATATTTATTTAAGATAGGATAGTTAAAAATAAACTCATGTCATTTGGACTTTTACAATGAAAGACAAAAAATACACCAAGCCTGATAAATTAGCATTTGAGGATGACAAAGGCAAAGGGAAAGACTTAAGGTAACCTACCTGGAAATTGTTCGAAATGATTTGCAAATATTAGGTTTACATCTCAAGAAGTAATGAAAAATGAGGATTCCTAAGGTTGACCTCAAAAAGTTGGGATAAGGCTAATGATGATTATTTTGGCAATGATAAATCAAGTGAATACTAAGCTGTTGAAGCATTAACTCTTTTTGACTTGCTTGTTCTTATTGGAAAGAGTAGTCTGCCCTTTGCAAGTTCAGATGCCTAACCAGTATCCTAAAAGAAACTACCTCTGCATTCTCAACCTGTTCTCTAATCTGAGTTTCTGCAATACACTGTCTTTTGTTATCTATATTATTCCAAGTTAACTTGGTGTTAAATGGATTTTTTATTATAATGTAATGGTGATGAAGATGGAAACATTTGTGTTTCACATAATGTTACAACACGGAATACTGGTTGAAACCAAAAATACGCGCATCTTTCAGGAAGTGAATGTAATATAATTGTACATTTTCTGTGTTTTCTTATTTTCCATGTTTTGCTTTATTTCCTTTATTGTGCTACTTATTAGTTTTGATGTTTGGTGAATGGATTTAAATGAAATATTTTTGTGATCAAGGTATATCTTTTTATTTTTTTATTTTCAGTGGTATACAAATAAGTGAAGCACTGAAGTTGCAGATGGAGGTGCAAAAGCGGCTGCACGAACAACTGGAGGCAAGGCCGCTCACCTAGTTTTGAGTTTATTTTGAGGAAAAAATATTTACTATGAGTATATTGCCTTAACGTAAATCTTTTGGAATATTCATAAATTTCAACGCATATTAAGACAAACTCATTTGTCCCATGAAGTGTCATTTTATCTTTTGATTTGATAATATGGAGGCGTTGGGCAGTTGGCAAATGGAAATTCTGTTTTTTTTCATTTTTGTTGAATTTCTTATTGTCTAGTGGGCTAACTAAACATGATGGGTGAAATTATTTCTTATGTTAGGTGTCTGGCAAAATAGATTTCAATATTAGTATGAATTTTTTGTACTCGGTGTTTGATGTGGCTGCTATTTTTTATTTCTTATTCTAGCATGTGACCAAATAGAGGTACTTTTTATCATTAACTGATCTAGCATAATCAGCATTTAAAAAGCTTCCACATTAAGGTCTGCATTTTTAGTCCACGTTTGTTCTTTCTCTGGTGACTTTGATATCTATGCATACATAAAATAACGTTCCAGTATTTTTGTTTGACAGTTTGCGTGTGTTGATTCACAACTCCTATAGCAAAAGATCTTGATTTACCAACTAACTTATGATAAGTAGAGACATACTAAAAATTTCTCTCTTTACTGCCAACATTCTGAGTCTCAATGAGAGTGCTATCAGTTTTGCGACATAATAGGCCAGTTTTTAAGAATATTGGTGGTATGTTTCCTTGAGACAAGGAGCCAAGGAGCCAAGGAGCCAAGGAGGCCACAAATTATTCTTAGAGAGTACTTTAAATTGTGATATCGAAATTAATTCAAACCAAAATAGGAAAAATAAAAATTATAATTGAAAGCAAATAGGTGGCTACAATCAACACATTTGAAAGAGAAAATACAATAACACGACACCCAAAAATCTAAATTATCAACACACACAACACAAGTAATCAAATTAGGGTGGGATCTCGGGATGTTGGTGGTGATCGTCGAGGGTTTGAAAGGTAGCGGTAAGTTGGGACCGCGGATTAAGCGGGCGGAAATGGCAACGGGACAATAGGTCATTGCTGTCCTAGGTGGTGGAAAGGTGGAATGGCAGGGAGTTGGTGCAAGAGGGTTGGGATAGCGGTTAGGTGGCAGGACGTGATCCAGGATGACTGGAACAGCAGCTGGTGGGAAGGGGAGAGGATTTATGGTGGCTGGAACAGCGATGACAGCAGGTATGAGGCGGCTGGAAGGTTGTGAGCTGTCGGAAACAGCAAGAGGGAGGGCTGGAGGCTGATTTGGAAAGAGGACAACTGGGATTGTGGAAGGGAGGTGGTTGGAATTGTGATGGCAGCAAGCGGGAGCGCTGGAATCGCAGGGAGCGTGGGTTGTAATGCATAAACTTCATGAAGAATAGCATCAACAACTGTTTCGAGCGGCTGCAGCAGGAAACGACGGCGGGGAGCAATGTTTGGGGTGGGGGGATGTTGAAGGGGAATACAGAAGATAAAACACTACCTCGGGAGAGGGATACAACCGGAGCACCACCTAAATCCTTGGATACAACCCTTGAAGGGAGAAAATAGAAGCCGACAGCTTTTCAAAACAAAACACATGCAAAACTAACTTATAAGCCCTAATACAACACATATATAAGAAATAACTTAAAATGAATGAAGGACGATAGGAAAGAAAGCATAAGAAAGGAAACGAGATTATTTTGGCTCGTCTTCTACTATAGGTATCCCCACGGTATTGTAGCAGCTATAGTATCACTGTAATTTTGTGTGGTATGCCAATGTCAATCTCCTATGGTTGGAAGGAGTTTCGATCTCACCCGTCGAAGCTTCTGCCTCCTCATTGTATGACGTCAGCTCGACCATAATGAAGGTGACAGAAACGTTGTAATCTCAAGATAAGTCAATTCTGTTGGTGTTGACATTCTAAAGTACATTTTTATAGAATATTTATCCATCCTATTTTGGCACAATGATAACTAGAATTGTACATGGATGTGTATCATCACAAACCAAGCTTTGAAGCATTAAATTTGGAGTTGACTTCCTCTCCTCTTACTTGTCCGAGTGTATCTGATAAACAAGTATGTAAGGAGTATTCAACTTTAGGACGAACTCTATGGGAGGCTTAGCAACTTCTCAGGAGAGTCTCCATCTTCTCCTTTGGTAGATTCTGGATCCCATTGAAGAATTTTCTTTCCCACCAAACTCCTACGACATCTTTCAAAGTTGTGGTTCATCCATTCTGCCTGATCATCTGTCGGGGGTACACTGCTGAATAGATTTTAACATCCAATTGGCTCCACATGGTTTTTCATAAGTGGCACAGAAAAGCTTCATCGGTAATATATGTTTGACCTCTCTAAACAGGGTCAACTTAGGAAGGAACCTATCTATTTGAAAAGTCTGAATTTCTCTTATCTAAGATTGTTGGGTGTCTAGTGTTGGTTCCTCGAACTTTGGACCCTCTTAGACCACCAATATGAATTCTATGGGAGTCTCCCTTATGTCCTTAGCTTGAAGCTTTTCTCCCTCATCAGTTGGGATTCCATTCTTCTCCTTTGTATCCTCACCTTATTCAGTGTCTGTTGTGTCATTTGCCTATTTCATCAACAACTTCCTAATCAGTGAAATATATCATTTCTCCATTTGTGCAATTTGTTTCAATATGCTCAAATCCATGACACTTGAAACAATTTTTGGCTAGGATAAATTTAGGGATATTGGTTCAAGTGTCGTGGATTTGAGCATATTGAATTTAGATGTTCTCTACTTTGAATCAACAAAAATATGAAACCATCTAAATTCTAAGTGGATAAGGATAAAACTCGGATCTGAAATATTTGAATGAACCAACTCAAATAATACACTACTAGGACAAGACATCGATCAAGTAAAAGACACATGATGATTTTTACCTAGTTCGTAAACATTATATTCAAACTTGGTAGAGGATATAGTAATAAATTTTTGCAGGCTCAATCAAGGATTGCCAAAACGGCATTCCATTGGTACAACATAATGGTTGGGGGCAAAAGAGAGAAATTGAAAAGCACAATGAAATCGATGATACATATATATATGTATTTTTTTTTTTTAAGATCTGAAAATATCAAAAAAACTCCATATCAACATTGCAGGTCCAAAGGCAGCTCCAGTTAAGGATTGAAGCACAAGGAAAGTATCTGAAGAAGATCATCGAAGAACAGCAGCGACTCAACGGCGGCGGATTCATGCCAATCTCGATGGACCAATCCTCTGAAGATAAAACAGATCCCTCGACTCCTACGCCCATCGCCAAATCCTCCCTCCACGCAAAATCCAATACGAACCTCTTAAACAGCCTTTCTTTCGAAGACTCCCATCACGAACCTCACACGCCGGAAACAGGCTCGCCGTTGATGAGCCTGAAGCACGAACGCCAGGTTAAGAGTCAGTGAGTTTAATCTCCTTATTCCTGCGTGTTAGATACTCCTTAGCTGAGTGTCCTGTAGTATATATATTTTCAGGCTTATCAAGCTTTTGTAGGTCTATTTCCTGGGAGGCTTTGATTTTCAGAGAATAGTTATTTATTTGAGATAGTGTTTAGCAATTCATACAAAGCAAGGTATGATACTTTCTGTTTTCCGTTCCTGTTGTTGTATTTGTGTATGTTTGTAGTTATTTTTTGCTTCAATCAAAATGGATCATCTTTCATTTCAATGGCTTTTATTGTCTGTAAAATAAAGGGACATTTACATACATACCACACAATTGTTACATATTTACATATCTAACAACTAAACTTTTCCTTTTTACATATTCATGCTGCATAAATATTTCATGTCACATAAAAAAATACCACCTTTTTTAACTTTTAAAAAGCGAAATATGCATTTCGGTAATTAAATAAATTTAGATAAAATTTTAGTGAATTAAATGTTCAAGGTTTGTGTGAGAATTGAATGGTATGTATGTAAATCTTTCTTTAGATAATAAAGGCTGTAAGTTAGTTATTGCTTTCAGTTAAATGTTCAATATTTATTCATACATGGTTTGTGTACTTTTATTTATTTCGGTAATTAAATAAATTTAAATAAAATTTAAAATTTTTGAAATGTAGATGAACTTATTTGAACATCGAGCCTCTTGTTCAGTTATATTTATGAACATAATTGTCTCTTTAACAAATAGCTTGCTAAGAATTTAATAAAATGCTTATTTATTGTCGGTTTAATTATTTTTTGATGATTTATTTAATATTTCATATGCTTTTCAATATATATATATATATATATATATATATATATATATATATAAAAAAGAATGACAATAAATCGAATTAAATCGAAAATGAAGTTCAAGAAAAAACATTTGGTGAAACTTCGTGACTAGGAAAACATGCAAGCCGAATTAAGTCGAAAATGAAGTTCAAGAAAAAACATTTGGTGAAAGAAAATTTTGCTTGCATTTGACATGGACTGTTAGGGTTTGTTTGTGGTAGTTGTAGTTGTTTTAAGAAACATCTGTAAAGTTGTTGTAAAAGAAATTGTTTTTCAAAAAATTAGAATAGTTATTACAGATTTATTTTATTTTTAAAAAGTCAGGCCTTAATTTTCTGACAATTACCACACTTTAACCGTTTAAGTTAAAAAAAATAACTGTTGTGACGGTCTAAAAAATAAACCAGTAAGAAAGTTGTCCCAAACTGACACTTAATCAATAGAGTTTACAAGATGTTATTTGTGTGGAGAGTGTGTTATCGTAAAATTTGTTGTGAAACAATTTCTCTCAACAAATTATTTTAATTAGAAGTTATAGTCAATTGGAAAATACTTGTATTTATTGGTCACATGTGTTTGTAGTCACTTAATATCATGCTATATGTTGGAAAATACTTGTATTTATAGTCAATTGGATGTTATATGTTTGTATCCACTTAATATCATGCATTGGTTAAGATATATATATATAATCTATGTATATATCTATATAGATACATGTATCTATGTATATATCTATATAGATACATGTATCTATGTATATATCTATATAGATACATGTATCTATGTATATATCTATATAGATACATGTATCTATGTATATATCTATATAGATACATGTATCTATGTATATATCTATATAGATACATGTATCTATGTATATATCTATATAGATACATGTATCTATGTATATATCTATATAGATACATGTATCTATGTATATATCTATATAGATACATGTATCTATGTATATATCTATATAGATACATGTATCTATGTATATATCTATATAGATACATGTATCTATGTATATATCTATATAGATACATGTATCTATGTATATATCTATATAGATACATGTATCTATGTATATATCTATATAGATACATGTATCTATGTATATATCTATATAGATACATGTATCTATGTATATATCTATATAGATACATGTATCTATGTATATATCTATATAGATACATGTATCTATGTATATATCTATATAGATACATGTATCTATGTATATATCTATATAGATACATGTATCTATGTATATATCTATATAGATACATGTATCTATGTATATATCTATATAGATACATGTATCTATGTATATATCTATATAGATACATGTATCTATGTATATATCTATATAGATACATGTATCTATGTATATATCTATATAGATACATGTATCTATGTATATATCTATATAGATACATGTATCTATGTATATATCTATATAGATACATGTATCTATGTATATATCTATATAGATACATGTATCTATGTATATATCTATATAGATACATGTATCTATGTATATATCTATATAGATACATGTATCTATGTATATATCTATATAGATACATGTATCTATGTATATATCTATATAGATACATGTATCTATGTATATATCTATATAGATACATGTATCTATGTATATATCTATATAGATACATGTATCTATGTATATATCTATATAGATACATGTATCTATGTATATATCTATATAGATACATGTATCTATGTATATATCTATATAGATACATGTATCTATGTATATATCTATATAGATACATGTATCTATGTATATATCTATATAGATACATGTATCTATGTATATATCTATATAGATACATGTATCTATGTATATATCTATATAGATACATGTATCTATGTATATATCTATATAGATACATGTATCTATGTATATATCTATATAGATACATGTATCTATGTATATATCTATATAGATACATGTATCTATGTATATATCTATATAGATACATGTATATATGTATATATATATAGATACATGTATATATATATAGATACATGTATATATATATAGATATATGTATATATATATAGATACATGTATATATATATAGATACATGTATATATATATACATACATGTATATATATATACATACATGTATATATATATATACATATATATTGTTGGAAGTTATACTAGGAAATAATTTATTCTTGTGAGAAATTATGAAGAATAAATTATTTCCTTGTATTAATGAGTTATTTAATTTCTCATTCCCTATTTTATATTTATTACCTTAGATTAGGAGCTAATTTCTTTTTTTTAGGTTTTCCTATTTTATGTTTTTTTCTTTATCTCCAAATAATTAATATGTTTTGATTATTAAATTGTCGGACTCTCTTATTGTCATCCTCTATGAGGGAAGGGAGGTGTGCTCATCTTAGTATTTTAAATAACAATTTTTTTGTCTTCTCTCTCAGCAAGTTTTTTCTGCTGGTCGGCCCTTTCTGAACCAGGAGCTTTGACTCTTTCAGCCTTCAAAAAATCTATAGTTATCGGTTCATCCCTGCTGTCAAAACCCCCATCTATCTTCTCTCTAGGCCGAAACACATGACAAACAAAACTCAAAATTCAGTCAAGCTTGAATTTTGAGTCTTCCTATAGGAACTGCATAAACTGCAGCCATCGACCTTGCTGGCTTCTAGAAAATCTATAGTTGTTAGTCGAACCCCCATCTATCTTCTTTCTAGGCTGAAACACATGCCAGACAAAAGTCAAAATTCAGCAAAGCTTGAATTTTAAGTCTTCCTATAGGCACTGCAAAAATTGCAGTTAAATGACAATCACAGTTGTTTACTTCCGTTTAAACTCCTATGCATCATTACATGTAGGAGCTTTCAGTCTACATACATACACTGCAGGAACTGCAATCAAAGGCAATCAAGTTTGTCTACTTCCTTGCAAATTCTCTGCATCAGTACTAGTAGGAGTTTTTTTGTCTACTTATAGACATTGCAAGAATTGAAACCACTACTGTCTGCTTACCTGCAAACTCCCTTGCAACATTATCTGTACGAACCTTCTGCCTTCCTACAGACACTGCAGTAACTGCAGCCAAAGACAACTGCAGTACAGGATGAAGACTTCAGACTTCAAGTTCTACTTTACACAGGATCTTCTTAGCCCTTCGTTTGATGTTTTCAAATTCAAGTTGAACATGATTTTTAACCATGTTTCAACTTTAGGGAGAGTGTTGGGAGTTATAATAGGAAATAATTTATTATTGTGAGAAATTATGAAGAATAAATTATTCCCTTGTATTAATGAGTTAATTCATTTCCTATTTTGTATTTATTTCCGAAGAGTAGGAGTTAATTCCTTTTCTATTTTAGGTTTTCTTATTTTATGTTATTTTCTTTATCTCAAATTAATTAATATGGTTTGATTATTAGAGATATTTGGTGATATATCTTTCCTTTTGCATGTTATTTATTTTTATTATTTTTCCTATTATAGGATTCTTGTAAGGGTCATTTATACATCCGTTCATATCAATGAAATAATTAAGTATTCTACATTATTCTGAATTTCAACATATATATATATATATAATTGAACTGAATGTGATAAACATGTGAATGATATGTCTATATTAATTGTTTGTATGTGTATGACTGACTATGATAGAGTCACCTCTTTATGGTTCAACTAGTGGAGGAACACTGAGGTATTTATGGATGCAAATAAAAAAAAAATGATATTGAAGTACCTTAATTGATACAATTTTTATATGGTGCTTTTATGACAGTTGTACATATATATAGGTATGTTATTGATATAGTAAGATTTATTGAATAATTTCATATCCTTAAAATATCAAATGTTTATATTGATTTATAAAAAAATTAGTTGGCATTCAAATCATTTTTTTCTTTTCTTTTGTAGCAGTTTAGGAATGTGGGTATTCATTGGTTTTGGTTAGCTTATTGTTGTTTTAAACTAACCTTTCAAATGTAATTAATTTTTCTAAAAGATGAGCAATAGAAGAGATAATGTTTACAGAAGACGCGGACAATCTGTAATAAGGTAAATAAAATTATATAGTTTTAAATTAATTTGATCAGAAGCTCTTTCATTTGTTAAATGATAAATGAACATAAAAACTTAGTTCTTACTGTTCAATCGTTTGTACCCGCCTTTGTTAATTCCAAACCTCGTGCCCAGTCGTGACAAAAAGTGCGATAACAACCTATATATTCTCTTATTGAAAACACGACAATAGTGGAGACTATATCCTCCAAAAAACACGACAACAACATAGAAATTCTATTCCAAAAAACACGACAACAATACTTAAAATCTCC